TGGTGTTCCCTAAGGGAGGCCCCATACCTTGAGCACGTATTGGAACTTCAACAACCCAGACCTCAAATGGAACTTGTACCTATGATCTATCATTAAAGATGCAAGAAAAATAGTTGGTTCCCTGTACTGCTCCAACAAGTACCTGACTCTTCCTGTTATCCTCTGGCTTTACAAGAGCCAGATCAGGCCAAAAATGGAGTATCGCTGCCATATATGGGAAGGTGCTGCCCTTACTTTGTCTTCACTTTCTAGTCTTGCAACGTCCAAAAGTGTCACTGCATCCATGTGAGTGACAATTTATTTTCCATCCTACAATCTCTTTCTCACAAATGAAATGTGGCAATCCTCCGGTTACACTATTTCTACGGAAAGTGTTCAAATGAACTATATTCCTTAGTTCCACTAATTCTAACTTTCATGGTTAAGACCCACCATGTCATGCATATTATTGCAAAGTACCCTCATTCCCTTCCCATTTCATTGTTGAGATGTAAGTTCCACTCAAGCAGATTCATACCCCTGAAATGCATCATTACTTTACCCACACCCTAACACACCAGCTCACAAAATAATTGGATAAAAAAATTCTAAATTAAGGTTGAAAATTGAGTACTGTTGCTGAGTCTTCGTTTTCCACTCTCGAGAGTCAAAAAGAGTTTCCGCATCATTGTGGGTGACAAATTATTTTCCATCCTACAACCCCTTCCTCACAGAAGAAATGTTACAAGCCTATTGCTGCTCTCACTATTTCCATGGAACTACATTCCTTAGTTCCACTAATTCTAACTTTCATGGTTAAGACCCACTATGTCATGCATATTATTGCAAAGTACCCTCATTCCCTTCCCATTTCATTGTTGAGATGTAAGTTCTACTCAAGCAGCTTCTTCCCACAAACCACTGTTCAAGTCTAGGGTTAACTATTATCTTCCTCACATATCCACATAAACTGTGCCTCTTTCTCTGCAGGCTTACAGCCTCATCGCATTGTAGATAGCAATTGACATTGCATTTAAATGTTTGCAGATTAAAGTTGGCTGGAAAGCATGGAACTGGAAGTGAGTTCCACAAGCGAAAAGTGCGAGAAAAGAAACTTAGCATAGAACTGATGGCTACATCTTGTCAGCTTAACTGTAATTTGAGATCTTGATGTAAGTCTAGTACTGTGCTTAAATTCATAAACTCTAGGTACCATAGTAAAGAAATCATTATTGTTATGACCCTTTCATTTTATTTATTCTTTTCCTTCAAAGGGCAATCAATTTAAAATTAATTTATGTAGCAAAGTAAGCCTTCACCTCTTAAAACTTAGAAAAATGTTGGGTTTTTTTTTGTTTTTGTTTTTTAAATCTTATATATATTACACAGCAAAATCCAAATTTACCTCATATTACATTTCAACCAGCGCAAAGTATGTTAGTCTTATTCAACCCTGGTGTATGGACTGTATTCATGTTGGAATTAGAGATTTAATGTTTAAATTTGACAGCAGTTGAAAATTGATACAGAACCTACTTATTTTGATGCCTCAGCCAGACAAAATGTCCAAGTTGGTGGTAAGGGTGATTGGAATTTTAAACTGAACCCTTTTTGTCCATCAGGGTAGATTGTTCTCAACTCTCCAAGTTTTGGTTCACTACTGCTGTGGCCTGGTATTGAACTCAAACTCTTTGGGTCTAGGCACTGGATCTAACCAACGTCTTTATTCATTGGGCTATGATAGTATGTCTGTCTTCAAGTTATCTTTAAAATATATATCCACTGAGCTATGTGTTCTCAAGGGAAATAACTGAGACATATGGAAGAGGCATGGCATGAATCTACCCCAATGGACGAAATAATGGTTTGGTTTGAAATTCCAATCACCTGAAGAAAGCCAGAGTGTACAAAAGCCGAAACTTGAATATGGCAATGAAGATGAGGATAACAGTCTGAATAATGTAAATAATGCAACTAAGAATGAATTAATTAATTAATTAAAGCTGGGTAACATGAAATAGAATCCTTGGTACTGCACTGCCAAGCTGTCTGTCCTCCCTGGAAATGTGCCTGCTTTTATAGAGCCTAAAACTTTAGCAGTTGGCTAGCACCGCTAATACTGCTCAGCTCACTGTCCTGAGTATCTGACGGAGAAGATGGTTGAGACATTGTATCATCATAACCGGATGTTCTAGTGGTTCATACCAGTTCTGTTCTGGCAGGGCAGCCATATGTTGTCTTTCTGCAGAGACAACACCCTAAACATCGTCTCTTTGACTGACGGGGGTAGGTACCGGTATCAGTAGCAATTGGCTGTTCTGTCTGCATTTCATTTCCCCACATTGCTAACAACAGTACAATCTCATCTCTCAAAGTAAAAACATCTCTTTCAATCAATATTGCTGACTGAGCCACTTTACTACAGAAGCTCTCCATATGCTTGCCTATTTCAAAGTTGAAGGCTATTATTATTATTATTATCTATTCCAAGTATTGTCCTCATCATCAAATTAGGTAACTGAAGGGGTTTTCTTTTTATTGATATGGAGGTGGGGTATCTGCCAACAAAGTGGGATGGAAAACTCAGCAGCACCAGAATCAAACACTGGATCACAACGAGCAGCGCATGGACATACCACATGTATCGGATGAATGCAGACAAGACACCAGAAATGCAAACAAGGATGAATAAATTTGAAACAGCACTGGGTAACACAAACAAAAATCCTTGGTAACACACAGCAGTTCCCATTGTGTGGCCAATGTGGTGTGCAGCCAAGCTCTGCCTCTTCCCAGAAAATATGCCTGCTTTTATTGAATCTAAAACTTTAGCAGTTGACTAGCAAAGGAATCATTTGCACAGCTAATACCCCTCAACTCGCTGTCCCGACTATATTGTGAGGAAGCTGGTAAACACTTTTTCTTCATAACTAGATGTTCCGGGATTCACACTGGCTCTGTTCTAGCATGGCAGTCATGTGTTGGCTTTCTGCAGAGACAGCACACTAAATATCGTCTCTTTGACCAACGGATGTGGGTACAATTATCAGTAGCAATTGACTGCTCCATCTGCATTTACTTTCTGCTCCACTCTCTTATAAAAGAAAAACTAAGTAAACTAGAAAACTGAATAAAAAAAAAAAAAATTAAAAAAATCTTATAAAATTTTTCGTGTAATTCACATTCAGTGAAACATTTCTATGAAGCAATGGCCAAGATTGTGTTTTAAAAGAGAAAAATCTAGTTGACTTGGGTATTTCTAGAAGGTGACCCTTGTAATTATAATGTTTAGTACAAAAGAACATTGCTAGTAATGAATAAAATTATTTTACAATCCTCTAAGTGGGGATAGAAATGCTCATTTTATTTATTACTAATGTAAATCTAAATGGAACCTCAGATTATTAATGCCTCTCTCATCACAAACAAATGAACAGATTTTCCAAACAAAAAATGTCTCTAGCGATGAACAGTGTCTCAAATGATAAACATAAGCCAGCGATAATGTGGGACAACAAGTTGGAGTATCGACAGGAGTGTCAGTTGTAGTGTAGCTTTCACTCCATACACATCTCTGTTTGAATTTTCAGTGGCTTCTCCTGCATGTCATTATGTTTAGTGTTACAAAATGCTTCATAGATGGTATTCTGACTGAGCGGTTGCCTGTGTCTGGGTTTTGGATAAAAGTCCAGAATGGTGTGAATTCAACAAGTATCTGCAAGAATTCTTAATCGTCAATATGCCTCCCATACCAAGGTTAGTAACTGGCTAAGACCACCAGCAAAGGAACACTGAGCCAATGTGTGACATTCATTCCTATGACATCATTCCTCCCACTGCTTCTTAGAATCTAAGCTGCCATCACTCTCTCCTAATGAAATGAATAACAAAAAGAAAGGGTCCTTTTCGTTGATACCATTTTATATAGTAGTGTGGGGACCTAGAGATGATAGAGATGCAACATTAGTATTTTTTTTTTTTTTTGTAAATTATTAAATAAGGCCACATGATACTGATAGCAGCAAAGTCAAAAGAAAAATGATCAGAATCATGATAATTGAAGAAAGAAATCACAGCTGAATATAAAAATGGTGTTCATATGGTAAAACTGAATTATGTTTTTTTTTTTGTCTATATTTTATCTGTTCATTTTTTTTTTTTTTTTTTTTGTTAGATTTTATGATTTTCATTGTTTTTGTGCAGAAAGTCCTGTCATGAAATTTTAAATAAGCAATCATCTGGGGTCCATGAACAGGTTAATCCATTTTACATTGACTCATTTCATTCACGAATGCCCTTCAGGAACAAATTTAATTTGAAATTTGTTAACTGAAGTTCCGCCCACTGACAAATATATATGTATAGTACAAGGTAAAAAAAATGGGCACACTCATAGAAAGTTGATTTTTGTATTTTTACCAAGACAAGTGAGTAATAGAATACATGTATTAATACAGGTGTATATGTGTACATTATACAAGTATTTTGTTGGGTAAGCTTTTGCTTTAATAATGGCTTTAATTCTTTGCTATAGACTAAATTCTTTAGTAAGTTAACATCCTTTGACATATTTTCCCAGCATTTTTTTAATTCGTGAAAAAGATCATGTGTTAACTTTCTTATTACAGGCATGCTTGTCCATTATCACTTAGAGTTTTCAGTTAGGTTTGCATTGGAGCTTCCGGTGCAAATGCCAAACAGTACAATATGCCATTTCCAAACTTCTTGCAGAGTGAATTCCATCATGGTGCTCTTTTTGTCACAGACAGTGCCCAACTGACCCTACTATACTCTACAGTTGACAAAAACAAACACACATGTGTGAAATTAAAAATATAAAATGGCAACAGTTTACCCATTGCACCCTGTACATACATACACACTAATTTTATCTAAATTTGACACAGGGTTGAATGGGTTGGGATAAGATGTTTATGCATACTCAGAAAAATATTTATTCTCTTTCAGGGAAAGAAAATTCCTCATACCCAATTTCCGGTTGTCGGAAGCATCTTGTTCAGATGATAGCAGATTTGATCAATTTTTGCTACAGCCATCATATGTGGGCTGAGGGTAATCAAATTGTTTCTGTTTTGCTTAAAAACAAACTGGAATTTGACCTCAAAGATCACCTGGATTCCATTCCCTACAACACTGCTTTGTTGGCCTTGGATATCTGTCTCCATTCAGTAGAACCCCAGAAAGCTCTTTCGCTTCTTGAAGGTAAATTGTCTGTAATCTTTCTCCATGATTAACTTTACTTCTTTATTTGCTGTTGAGGAAAATATTCAGATTGTTAATCTGGTTTTGTTTTTCAGGCATCTATACTATAATGGATCTTCACAAAACACAAACATGCATGCACATAACTCTTTGGTATCTTGGGGATATTGTCCCCTCCTCCCTTTAAGGGTGGTTAACATCCTTGACAGCCTGATAGGGGATTTTTAGTTGGTGTTTGCACTAATGTGCACACACTTGCTAGTCTTAGTGTAACCCCTTGGCTTAACCGGGGGGGTTAAATGCTCATTTCACCAGAGACTGCCACTGACTGCATGATGAATGCACACAGCATACAAAATCTTTCTTAGTGGTTGGTCACATGTGCACCTTCTTACAAAAATATCCTAGCTCTTTTGTAGTATTTGAACACTCTTTCAGGAGTGCTTGTATAAACATGTGTGTGTGCGCGCGTGCGCACACATACACACACATATATAAGGTTGCATGAAGAGTTGTTTGTTACTAGGTTTCATGCATTTACAATTTTCAGACAAAATGGTTTATTTTTTTTAAAAAGGCTGTTCATACATAAACATATGTACAAACAGCCCTTTTAAAAAAAAAAAAAAAATCTTTAGACACTTAACGGTGTACAACGGTGCCAATATCTCTCTGTCGCTAAGATGTACTAGACAATGTGTGTATAGGAATGCCATCATTCGCTTTGAAATGGACACCCCGGCCCTGCCTTGGCTTGGCATCTTTCTGAGAGTGACTGATATGTTGATACAAATTGTTAAACCTTATTCCCTGAAACGGCTGAAGTGGACAGTCCACTTCAGCCGTTTCCATAGTAATTAATTCTACGAATGAATATGCTAATAAGATGCGTAAACTTCAAGGTTAGTTATTCCAAAAAATTTCGCTTGAGGATGAAATGGAGCTTTTGGCTCTTGTTTTTGAAACATGAGAATTCTTATATAGCGAAGGAATCATATTTTTAAAAAAATAATTATAATTTAGGCTCTACTTTTGTATTGAGCACTGTTTTTTAAAAATACTAAAGAACTTCAGATTTACCTAACGTGTTCTTGCCTATATATTTACACGCACATACATACATACATACATACATATATACATATATATATATATATATATATGGTTGCATGAAGAGTTGTTTGTGACTTTAGGTTTCATGCTTTTGCAATCTTCAGGCAAACTGGTTTTATTTTTTTGTGTTAACACTCACATATATGTAGACACACATGCATACAGCCATATACCTGTTAGTTCATACATACACACCCATATTCATAAGCTTGGCTTAGGCACAGTTACATATTTGTACGCTCAAGCACATGTATATACAAAAATTTCATTCTGTCTATTTCTATGTCAAAATTGTAATGTTCTCTTATTAGGGGACAGGTGGGGGCAGCTTTGACATCTTTCAGGTCAGCCAATTGCACCAGCAGACATGTTCTCTCTCACACACACACACATATGTAGATGCATACCCACACTCATTGATTTGTGTCTACTATTGCCACATGGGTTAAGTTGGGTTCTTTCTGTAGACATGGCAATGATGCTTGTATTTATCAACAACTGCAGCTATGTTATTAACAATTGTAATTATGCTAATGGTAATATTAGCTGTGATATTATTATTATTGATATATTGATAATTGATATGTTATTAGTTACTAGCAGTAGAGCCCGGTGCGTTGCCCGGGGATGTAACAGTCAGAGATAGATCAAGTATCGACCATCATAAAGACTGAAAAATAAAATTGACAAAGATTATTGTTTAAGGTTGACGGCCACGCATGTCTTAATTAGTTTTATTTTTTATTTTTTTTTACGAATTGGTGAAACTCAAACAAAAACATTGTTTTCAATCGTTATGAGTCTACTGATTAAATAGAATTTTATTATAAACAATTGTCTTGTAAATGGAATTTTTAAAGCATTCTGCATGTAAAAATAAAGAAAAAAGTGTGCAAGACAATAAGAAACACTACCTGCCAAAAAAAAAGTGAAGTTTTATTAAAATCGGTTGAAAAATGTAGGAAATCCGATCCCATATATAAACGAAGACACACACACACACAAACAACCTGGGTTTTATAAGTATAACTCTATATGAGTTGTCCCCCTTTCATTCTGGCGACTTAATCGTGTTTTCAAATTGATTTCATGCAAAAACAATTGTTTTTCCAATTTTTGGCACTGTCAGAACCACCGCAAGGTAATTTTATGTAGTCCTGTGAAGTTTTGTTGAAATCGGTTGAAAAATGTAGGAAATCCGATCCAATATATAAGCGAACAAACACACACACACACACACACAACCTGGGTTTTATAATAAGTATGATGATAACTAGTAAAGTTATCCCTAATAACGATGGTAACAACAACAAAATAAAAAAAAATAAAATATACACTATTTACATTATTCAGACTATTGTCCTAATTTTTGTCGCCATATTTATTACAATGTTTCAGGTGTTGTACGCTCTGGCCTTCTTCAGGTAGTTGGAATGTCAAACTGAACCCTTTATTTCGCTCACTGGGGTAGACTGTTCTAGTTCCACGTACCATGTTTAATGGATATCAGTTATCTCCTGTTCATTCCCCTCTTCAAGTTCTCCACAGCCTTAACTGGGTATTGAACACACACTCTTTGGGTGCTGTCACTGGATCTAACTAATGCTTTTATCCACTGTGCCATGTATCCTTGATAACTGACATCCATTAAACATGGAACTAGAACAGTCTACCCCAGTGAACAAAATAAAGGGTTCAGTTTGACATTCCAACCACCTGAAGAAGGCCGGAGTGTACATCAGCCGAAACAAAATAAATATGGCGACAGAGATGAGGACAATAGTCCGAATAAAGAAAATAGTGTGCATAATACCTCATCTCAGAAATATAGACAAATAAAAAAAAAATAATAATAATAATATAGATGTGATAATCATAATGATAATCATAATAATAATGATAAAAACATTATGAATGGTGGTAGTAAGGGTTCTAAAAATGGTAACAACATTACTAATAACGATAGTAATGGTAGTAGTCATAAAATAATAATTTTAGAGTGTTAAAGGTTATGTCTGTCATGATGGCCATGATAATTGTTATGGTGGTGGTTGTGTTTGTGCGAGTGGTGGTAGTATCGGTAACAGTGTTGGTAATGTTATTTCCTGTTGGTGGTTATGTTTTGGCTATTTTAGTGTTCTGGTGGTTTAATGTTCTACCATTTTTTTCGGTAGGTTCATTCTCATTTGTTTTCAATTTTTGTTCTTGGTGTTATCCCTTTGGTTGGAACTGTGATAGTAGATATTTGTTTTCATGTCTGCATTTGGAGACTTTCAGATCTTTTGGTTTAGTAATGTTTTTGTGTGTGGATGATTTTCTTGCAGACTAACTAGACCTCTCCTTGATATGTTGTTGTAGGCAGGTGCAGGTTTAATAATTTCCCAGGTTATATTTGGTGTAATGTTTTTGTCTTTTAGTTGCCATATGTATGTGGATAGTGTGGTACTATTACTTCGGTTGAAAATCCTAGGACTTCAGAACACTTTTATGTTGGTAACACGGTGAATGATTTCAAAAAACGCTTTTATAACCATATTTCATCTTTTAATAACGCAGATAAACAAAACATCACTTTCCAAGTATTCTTTGGAATTAAGACAAAGATAAAACACCCAAAGTTAAATGGAAAATCCTAAAAACAAGCTAAAATCTCCAGGTCGTTTTATGAACAGTGTTTTCTCTGCCTGCAGAAGAAAATACGTATAATTAAATACTTGAACAAGGACAATCTGTTGAGTCTGAGATATGAAACTGCAATAAATTGTAGACATCCAAAAGAATTAACCCTACAATCTTGCTAAAGAAATTTCTAATCTATTAATGAATCCTCTTATGTTTATAAACATAGCAGCGTAACTACTGTCAATATACCCTAGTTGTACTTTTAATACATAATTCATTTTAATTTTACTTTGAAATTTAACTCTAGACCTAAAATATTCTAATTGTGAAGTGAATGCGTCTGTTTGACCACCCACCTGATAATTGGCGAAAATTTGATTGACAAAGTCCAGATGAAAGTGACTTTGGGATAGGAATTTAGATTATCACACTACGGGTCGTATTGTTCTGTTGGCGGCCAGAGAAGAATAGAGAAAAGAAAAGAAAGGAAATAGAAAAAAAGAAAAAGAGATAATTTTTTTTTCTTTGAGCAAGATTTTTTTTTTTTTTTTTTTTGAGAAACAAGGCTAATCTGGTCACACCCACACTGTTGATCGGCCATTGGCTGAATGTTAATGAGAGCCAGGCGGAGGTGATCATGTGATGCAGGGGGGAGGCCTGCTACCACTCATTAAGAGGATAGGATGAGATGTTACTGTGAGGGAGTAGAAAAATTGTTGATGCCCTCTGAAGGTAGGGGTAAGAGAAGACTTCCAAAAATGGAAATAATAAATTTTTCCTGACTGAAAACAAAAGAAGGGGATTGTGGATTTGGAATTATCAGAGAACCTCAAACCCCCGACAAAGCCCACCCCGGTTTTGGTTGGCGTCCATATAAGCAAAGTCACAGCGAGCGAAAATCAGTTCAGTTCCAGTTTTCCAGAGTTTCCAGTTCGCAGTTGAAGTGGGTCCCGCCTCGCATTAGCTGACTAAGATTCGCGCAACTTCCGAACTCATCTTCAATCCAAGAACAATTTATTTTTGAAGAGCAACTTAGATCCATACCACCAAAATAAGTTTTACGACTATCGCCTGAAGACACACCAAGAACCAATTTCTTAAAGAACAGACAACTTGAGATGTTAAGACTTGCCTAACAAAAACGTGTCACGAATCCATTTAGCGGGTCAGGAGATGGACGCAGTCCTATGTATCCAGCAACCAGATATAAAGTATTGTTATCCTTTTTTTGATACCTTTGAACTTTTTCAGTTATTATTTTCTTTTACATCTACTTGTGTGATACCACCCTTATTCGAACTCGACTTGTATTACGGCCCCGACGACTGATTGATTTCATCTGCCTAAGATCAATTCACAACATGGGTAGGCAGACTGGAGATCAAAGTAGTTACTTCGGTAACCAGACGTTGGAGGCGAGTTGGGAACGACGAGGCTGATATCGAATCTAACCTGATTCCTATCCGAATCACCAAAAGGTTAGAACGTCACATTTGGGTGCCATGACCAATACCAAGCCAGTTGGTCGTCACAGGACAGGATAGCACGACTGACGCAGACAGGCGGACATCACGTTTGGAGCAGCAACACCCGAACAAAGTAGCAAGGAACGAGCAAGGCTGGGGGACGTCACAATTGGTGCCGTGACCAGGCTAGGACCCTGGAACAGCCGCTGTCACAATTAATTTTAATGTTATTTTACCTTTATTTCTATCTTGTTTTTGCCACCTATTTATTCTTTAAAAAATTTAATCGTTATATTTGAATTATTTTTCTCTTTATTAACACTCCATGCCAAAAAAAAATAATGCGAAAGTTAAAAATATGTAATATTCTAATTCATATTGTAAAGTAAAATTTAGGTAAGTATAATAAATATGGTGAAATAAAGGTTTTAAATCGGTTTAGTATTTTAATCTATATTAGTAAGTCAATTTCATAAAATACTATAGTACTCTTTTACATTCCATGAATAATTGTCTCCAAACACAGAATGTTTTCACTTTAGAAATATTAAACTAACCAACATAGGAGACTGTTTAAGTTCAAATTCTATGATTTAAATTTTAATCAGAAACTAGGAAACTTGTCCAAAATATATGAAAAAAAAATAAGCAAAAATCTTTTAACAAAAGAACTTTCATTTGGTGTTTAATCAAACTTATATTTATGCCAATTTGCCTTTTTCTTTCTCAGGTTTAGGCTGGTTTTGTCAACTTCCTCCATTGCAATTTCTCAACAGCTTACACTTAAAGCAATGGCTAAAGAAAATCTTGAAAGTTCTTATTGAACAATTGTCCAATTCAAACAAACTTCCCAATGGATGTCGCGTCTTTTCTTTGTTTGTTTCCATCAGTCAAGGTAAGCCTCCACAAATCATTTTTATATATATATATATATATATATATATATATATAGGTTTGGTTAAATAATTTAGGCATATATCAATTAGTACTGGTAATAGATCCATTGGTATATAATCCAGGTAGATCCTCGTAATATCAGATATTAAAACTGATCCACAGAGAGAGAGAGAGCTCAATGTATTTATCATAACAGAGCACATATTTTATACATCAGAAAATCAAAAATTACCTTATGTGGGTATAGTCTATTTCCAACTAGCACTGCCTTATGCCAGTCTTCCTCAGCTCTAGACTATATCGGAATGGAGGTTTTGAGTAGTTTAGATAGCAGTTGGTGAAAATGCGTGTGGCTATTTAAGGGGATGCATTGTTTTGATAAGGAGTCTGGATTGGTGACAAGGAGGTGGACCAGAGTGGGAGTTTATTTATGGTCAAAGCCTTTAGTTGTAATGTAAATGAATTTAGGTTCCTGAGAGTTGGATTTATATTATTAAATGGGGGGGGGATTTAAAGACAAGACAATTTAAAGTTAGAATAAATTATCTAAATAATAAATTCCCAAAAATCTATAAGCAAAACCCGACACGTACAATGGAATAAATAATGTTGTACAATACACATACATACCCACATGCCCATATGCCTACATACGCTTACATATATTTACTCATACACACATACATACACATATGTATACATATATATACATGTATATACACCAGCCCTCTATACTATTATGGTTCAAGAACATTGGTACAAATCTCTAAAGTGTCTTGGAGGGGAACATTGGTGTACAGATGGACAATGTCAAAGTTTATCATGAGTTTATTCTTGGGAGACAAATCGGAATTTCTGATAGAACTAGAAAATTGAAATGAATCTGAAACACAAGTAGAAAACAGATGGGGAAACTGGCTAAAGTAATTTAGCCAACTATTTGGCTAACTCATGTTGAACAGAGCCTACCATAGACAAAATGGGTCTAAGGAGGATAGTAATTCTAATTTTAGTTGTGGCTCCTTTTTCTTCCTCATTACATATTACATAATTTCTCCTGTATTGCAAATTGCTTTAAGATAAATAATTTTTCAACAAGACATAAATTACATTTATCGCCTCTCCCATTGAATGATTTAAAACACTTGAATAACTCTAGCTTATTAAACACGAGAAATCAATTGATGGTTACATGTAGGCATAAAAATAAATATCTGCTCAAATACATTGATCCAGATTAATTCTTAATGTAAATTAGTTTATTTTTTGTTTTTTGAAAAAGATCCTGTAATATCCTTTTATGCTTAATAAAAAAAAATCATTTTTTTATACACATATCTATAATAAATGCGAATGTCTGTGTCACTTGTCACACTTTTTCAAATAATTTTTTTTTTTTTTTTTTGTCTTAAATTTAGCTGGACTATTTAAGGGTGTCTTTTGCAATCTAGCAGATATATTAATCATTTTTTCTCTTCACAATATTTCAGTTATTAAAGAAATAAAATCGTTTTGTTATTACAGAAGAAACTAGCCATTGGCACACGAATGATACATTATCTCCCTTTAATTCAAAACGTAAGTATGCATTTATTAAACTTTGGACTTAATTGTTCTTCATTGTTGATTTTCTATGTTACTAAAAAATGCATAAATTATTTTTCTCATAGATTTGTAAATCTTATTAATTAATTTGGAACTATATTTAAGAACTTTCAATATTGATTTTTTTTTTTTTAAAAAAAACCCTCGAATATTGACATTTTTAAAAAGAAAACAAAAAAAATCCTTGAATATTGATATTTTTTTCTCAATTTTTGATAAAAATTTCTCAAATTTTAATCACTTTTCAAAAATGATTCTCAATTACTTCCTTTTGATCTCATCTTTCAATTTCCATCTGAATTTCTGGGACAGAATGGTGTTAATTTTATACATTATTTTGGACCATTTACCCCACGTGTTATTTTCATGATGGTAGGTATAGTGGATGGAATACTAAGATTTGATAAACTTTACGAAAGACTGAACTAAATCTTTGTATATAGACTTTCTTTTCACATGTCATCACCAGTGTCCATTCTCCCCCCCCGCCCCAACTGTATATATAAATTTTTAAGTTAAGAATTTCATAGCTAGGTTAAAGATAGGACTAAGGAAGACTGGCCTCCTCTCATCTCCATTTTTAGACTTAGTTCTATATTCACTGTATTTTACGGTAATAAATATTAATTCTCTGGGATTAGAAACAACACCTTCAGGGACATAACACTCTATATCTTAAAAGTTGAAACAGCTAGATGTAATTGTTAGTTCTATGCTAACAGTTTCTTCTCTTGCACTTCTCACTTGTGGAACTCTTTTATGGTTTGTGTCATAATGTGATTCTGCACAAGCTCTGTTGGCATCCATGTTTGGCTAAATGTGAATCCACTGATGCTTGCTATCTTCCACAGATTCATGGCTATGGTCACTGTCAATAAAACAACAGCGACAGATGATTTTCAAGACACTTGTTGGGTTGGGAAGTAGGGAAAAAAAAATATGATTTCTCACTTAGTTGGCAATGTCTTCTTTTTGCTATGAGAAAGCAAAACTTCTGACTTCACAATAAGTTCCATCCATGGAAAATGGATCCTTACACACTTGCTACCTGGCTGTTTCAATGATTGCTCATTATATGGATACAGGCTGGCAGACCTACTACCCCTTTTTGTACACTCATGCTTCACCAGCTAAAAAGGGAACTATCCAGACAGGTCTTGAGTGGTCAGTTTTTCAAAGGAACATACTTTTATGGCTATCTAGAAACACTAACAAAACTTTGTCAATTCAAAGGTGGACTGGAGACAGGATTCCTGAAAAATTCTGGTCATTGAGTTAAAAGGAAAAAGAATCAATTGATTGATCAATCGTATTGCTACACTTGCATTCCAGTCAAATTTGACCTTCAATAATGTAAATGCAATGTCAATCATTATCTGTTGTCTTGGTTCCTGTTGTTTTATTGTTCTCTCTTTGTTGTTTTTCTCATTCTATTGCATTTTATTGTCTTCCTTGGGGTGAAAGGCTCTAAAAGAAAAAAAAAAAAAAAGCAAATCTTGCAGAATAGAAGTTCACAAAATATAATTGTTCTAAACAAGCAGAAATAAAATGTCTTAATGAAAAGTGTCTGATTCTTTTCACCTTCTTTTTAACTCTTATCCTTAAGGATGTGGAGCAGTTTTCAATAAGGAAATGATGAAAAAATGCCTTCCAAAGGAAACCTCCATACTTACTGCGGAAATCTATGCAATAAAATTAGCACGTAAGATTGTTTGTTCAAGCAACTTAAAAAAATTCATCATCCATACTGACTCTATCTCCATTCTGCAATCTATAAAAAATACAAAACTGGATAACCCTTAAATTGTCAAACTTTTAAACAAAATCAACTCCATAAGACATAAAAAAGTGATATTTTGTTGGATCCCAAGTCATATTGGAATTCAGGGAAATGAGAAAGCCGATTCCTTAGCAAAAGCTGCACTTAATGACATCCTACCAGAACTCCAAAATCCCATATACTCACCTAAAACATAAAATCTAGAAAATAATGATGCAAAACTGGCAACAACTAGAGGACAAAAACACCATCAATAAGCTCTACCAAATAGAACCCATTTTAAAAGAAAGGAAACTGAATCTTAATAATACAAGAAGAGAAGAAACCACTCTTACTCGGCTACGCATTGGACACACTAGACTGACTCCCTCCTTCATACTAAAAGGGGAGCCTCCTCCTAAATGTCCTTGTGGAAACCAATACACAGTAAAACATATACTGATAGAATACACAAAACTTACACACATTCGAAGAAAGTTCTACAACATTAAGAGTACAAAGGAACTATTTACAAAAATTGATCCAAGTCATATAATAAACTTCCTGAAAAGAATAGCCTTTTATCAAGGATGTAGTTTGATGTGTAATTAATATATGCTACCTTTTTAATGTTGTGTAAACAAATTGTATATATTAAATGGAAATCCTTGTCCTAGACAGTAATACCTGGAATTATTTTGCAGTGTGCAAGCAAACAAGTTCTAGCTTATAGACATTTACAAGTCTATATATATATATATATATATATATATATGACTTGTAAACGTCTATAAGCTAGAGCTTATTTGCTTGCACACTGCAAAATAATATCCATATATATATATAATGTGGACATTGAAGTCAACACTTAGAGGCGACAGTCTGTTTCATGCTAGACACAATCATCAGGCCATGAGTGGCCTGATAATTGTGTCTAGCATGAAATATTGTTCACTTTTTATATTTATCGGCTGATCGTGTGACCGATCACTTCGAACGCACCCGTCCTACCCCACGTTGTGTTAAAAGATCGTAAGACAGGCCCGATCCGAATGGTCGACTGAGACCGAATATCACGGTTGCACCGGCCAGAGCAAGGTCACAAGAAAAAAGAAATAAAACGCAACTTGCTTAAAGAAAAAAAATATTTATATACTCTTACAAGTTGGTTAGTGATGTTACTGAGTGTTCAACAGGCAAATGTTTCTCATGCAGTAACTAGCGACCCCTTCCCGATTTATCGTAACGCACTGGTGGGTGTTGGTTTCAGTATCTTTGGAACAAGGCGCTAAGTCGGAGGTTTTCTACTTTCAGACGACAGGTCACATGGGAACAGGATTGGTCTTGTCTGTCAGCGTTCAGCTGCCTGCGTGTCCCTTCGGTCTGCGACTCCGAGCGTGTGTGTGTGTGTGTCGAACTCTCCTCGGCTTCTCATTTTATGGGGCCCAGTAAAAGGGCTGGGGTGGGCATGGTGTCTCTCTGGATCGCCAGCATACCCCAACGACCAATCAGAAGGCTTCCTACAACCGTCCGAATGTGGGGGGAGGCCTCCTCTTCCCCAGAACTCTGTTGGCGCTCCGCCTCTCCGAGCCACTTGACCAAATAAATCTGCTCGTCACGATTCCGCTTGTTAGTGACGAAGCTCACACTGGCCTTTGAGTAGATCTCAACTTCAGCACCCGACGGCCACTTTTAACAAATAAAAACAATATTCATATATGGTCTGGAGCCCCTTCTGTTTGCCTCGGGGTTCTTGATATGCTCCAAAGGCGGATATGAAATATAATTGGCCCTGTTCTGGCATCTTGTCTACAGTCGCCTCTCACAGACGTACTGTCACCTCTCTGTCTTTTTACAAATACTTTCATGGTAATTGCTCCGAGGAACTGTATTCGCTGGTTCATGAATTCAAGCGCACTACGAGGCTGGCATCCCCTCTCACCCTTTTAATGGAACTCCCTTCCCTATTCCAGTTTCCTGAGAGCTAGAATCTCCAACTATTCAAATGTAATGTCAATTGACATCTCCAGTTGTCTTGAGTTAATTAATTGTCGGATGTCTGCCTGCGCCCGAGAAGTGTTAACATGACCGTCAAGTGTCTTTGTTTCGCTTCACCGTGAACTTAATTGGCCGGTCCAACGAAATGGTACTTTTATAAATCCTATTCTAGCCAAAATTCACTCAAAAAGACAATTTGGGTAAATCTTAATTCCCGACGATCACTTTAGAAAGAAAAAGGATATTTTCTAATTAGTTGTTGACACGGTCGCCAAGTGTCTTTGTTTCGCTGCCTTCATATTTCGGCCAATTTTGTGCCTTCGTGAATCGGTCATCGCAATTGTCAAGTGGTTTTAAAGTGCCTTTGTTTCGCCTCGCCGTTGACACACCCGGCTACTCCAAGGAAATGGCACTTGGTGAATTTTTGTTCAAGTCAAAATTCGATTTAACAAAACAATTCCTTCTTTTCTTAATTCCAACCACCTCTGGTCATCGTTCTAGCGAATTTCGTGTTATTTCTTTGACAATTCACTTATCAAAACAATTTACCTTTCCTCTAATCCGGCCCAGCGTCCCACAGTGTTACATCTCTCCCTTACCTATCATGTCTTTTACCTGTAAACGACATACAAATACCCTCCTAAATTAACGTAAGCCTGTTTAGCATGCAAAAAAAAATCTTTTCTTTTGTTTGTTAACATGCAATGTTTCAAATGTCTTTTTCTTCTTCTGTTTTAAATGTTTCATGCAATGTTTCAAATGTCTTTTCTCTTCTTCTGTTTTAACATGCAATGTTTCAAATGTCTTTTCTCTTCTTCTGTTTTAACATGCAATGTTTCAAATGTCTTTTCTCTTCTTCTGTTTTAACATGCGTGGTAGGGGGTGGGGTGCACAGCACCCCTAAAAAAAAAGAAAAACTCAAAAAAAAAATTATCTCTTTTTTTTTTTTCTTTCTTTCATGCATTGTGTATATATGGAGGCTCGCAGCACCTCTTACAAAAAAAAATTATCTCTCTCTTCTTTTTTCATGGTCTGGCCTGCTTGGTCACCTTTCTCTTCTCCCCAATGGGAGGATTTTGTCTCTCGTTGATGGATGCCGGCTCTGGATTCATCTTTTCTGCTGAATCCAACTGGGTTTCTTTTCCATCTTGGTTCGACCTGTTTGAAAGAACACTGTACGACTCTCCCTCTTCGAGCCGCCGCGAACTCGCCAGAACACCATCAACCGATTTATCCCTATATCTCTTCAGCTTCCACACAATCATTACTATGACAGCAATAGTCATCAGGGAACCTAACGATACCGACCAGTGTAATATGGTCTGCTTACCCCTCTCCCCGACCGTACTCTCTCCTATGGTATTTAGCTTTACCTTTAACTGGTCTAAACTAATTCTGTCTATGGGCTCTAATAGCTTGGTCATTTTCCTTAGAGTGGTCTCAGTGAGGTTGCCTGTCACTGGTTCCCATAGATCCGTCCAATTGCTTAGGCTTTTCCTTACTGTCTCTATCAGTGAGTCCCGCTCCTCATACTTCTCTTCTGCTTGATAATATGGAGGAAGCGAAATGGACACTCCAAAGGCCGAACATCCCAACGGCAGCTCAATTAGAGACAATGGAGGGCTTACCTTCAGGGTCCTAGTGGGCTCTTCCCCACATACTTTAGACAGATCGATTGGCCTCTGGGTAGCAACTGCCCAGACCCCGTCGGAGATACTAATAGCCTGGGGTAGTACAGCGTCCGTCAGTATCTCTACCTGACAGCTCTCCCTAATCCGTTTATTATCTCCTCTGAATAACTCTAGTACACATAGCTTGTGATTACCCGTGACATAGATGGGACTTGACGATGTACACGTGCCTAACGCGTCTACTTGACACTCCCTCGCCTCTCTGGCTGTAAGCAGCATAAACTTCGTCCTAGCGGAGTTCATTGCTATATACTCTGTTTCGATTCGGTAAGTGGCCACCGCCTCCAAACCCTGCGTCGCTTGGGGGTAGGGGATGGTTAAATTAACTACTTGATATACTTCAAATATGCTTTCCCTGTCCAGGAGGGGAATGGACATCAGGACCAATAGCTTCTTATTCTCTAATAATGTGACACAACCCAATTCATTGTAGTATTTCCATAAATCTTCGTCGGGACTCACCGGTAACCTTAAGTGGTGGGGCAACTCTGCCTGTATTTTTAATAATAACTCTCTCAGATGGCCCGGGGTCACTATTCCCGGGGACAGGTGTCCCAGCGATAACATATCTAGCTGTGCTCTTACATGTTCCATCAAAATCGTTAGAGTCTGGCTGCTTTGTCGCACTTTGTTAACGATGCTTATTAGCTGGAAGTACTGCTGTACGAAGCCACTTAGTGCCTGAAATTCATTTACCACCGTTCTCGATTGGTTATAGATTTCCTGCCTCAATTCTCGTAGGTCGTTTATTAATCTATTGATACTTACCCTATTTTCCGTTAGCTCTAATCTCGTCACATTCAGTATGGACACGCTTTCTTTCGCTACCTGGGCTAGGACCTTCTGATCCTTTTCTACCCCCCCCTAGTCTCTTTCTTATAGACTCGATATCGTCGTCGGTCACTGTCCCGAACAAGACACCCAGGGCCTTTCCTATGATAGGAAGTACCGCCCTCTTCTTTCTGGTTTGTAAAAGCTCTACCCCCTTCAGATAATCCTTCATTCCCTTCCACTGAGCCCCCAACACTGCCGTTTCTAGCTCTATGGCGTCCAGTAATCTAAGGTATTTCTCGTCCCTGGCATATTTCTGGGTCACTCTGTTTCTTGCCATTCCCAGCTTAGCTAATTCATCCTCCATCTTGTCCAATAGCACCCCGTAGGGATTTAAGTCTATCACGAACGTGACCAGCCATTTTGATCTGGTTATTATAACTTCACTGGTCTTCTTGAAAATCGTATTTTGGCTGTGTCTCCAGGCATCCATCATCATCATCATCGACAGCAGGAGTATCAATCCTTTCATACCAGCCATCCCTGCAAGGACAATAAAATTCCCCATTTACTCTTTTCTTGCCTTAATTCGGTCCATTCTTATCTGGTCTGTCAATTCATTCTTAACCAATTCCCAACTTTAACCTATCCCTCTCTTACTAAACTTTTTAGTGAGTTGATTGATTCTGGACAGGCGCACGGCGCTCTCGTCCCAAAGGTCGTGTCCCGCCGATACTACCGCCGGACACGCACGGGCCCTTGTGCGACCCAACGACAGCACCAGCAAGTAATTTCGACCCCGGTGACGCGCCATCCGCGCCCCTATCCCCCTCAACCAAACCCTTCTTGCTAACCATGGCATGGGTCTTCATAGAACCGGCATTGTCGCGCGCTAACTTTTCCAAGACTGGAGTTCGCCGCCTCGCCCAGTCTCTACTCCCTTCTCCCGTAGTCGTTTTTGGAGTTGGGAAAGGGGTATCTCGTCCTCTTCTTCCCACTCATCCCTTTCCTTACCTTCGGTGGGCTTCGAGCCCGACCCCTGGTTCTCGCTACTTGGGCCTGTTGCCTTTTCTATGGCCTCGTGACGCCGATAGGCCGAGCCAGCGGCATCTTGAGGTTCTTTTGGGGATGGTGGTGCTCGAACCACCTCGTCTGGCGCATCGTTGCGGATTTCTATCTGTTGTTCACTTCCCTCTCTCTCGTCCTCTTCGGAGTCTTCGTCCGTCTCCATTTCCTCAGGCTCTACAAGGGTCACCCTCCTCTTCCTTGACCCCCTGTCTCGCGATCTAGTAACCCCCCAATCAGCCATGTCGGCTAACTTTAGATCATTAGCATGGGCCCTCTTAACTCGCCCAGCCATCTGATCCCAGATCAGAAATGACACTGGTCCTGTCTGTTCTACTATCCTATAGTAGGGTTCCCATCTCTGGTCCAGTTTCCCTTTTCTCTGGGGTATCTTGTAGAACACGGGATCCCCAACCCCTAGCTTCACCTCCTTCCTTCCTCTGTTCACTCTATCATTTCTTTTCTTTTGGGCTCTTCTTATCCTTCTCCTGGCCTGGGTAAACAACCTGTGCTGCTGCTCAATCACCAATTGATGGTGATCCTCACCCATATACTTCCTACGGGGTTTTAATAGGTTATCTACTGGCAAGACCACATCCCGCCCGTATAGCATATAGTAAGGCGAGAACTTGGAGGTTTCATTCATAGTGAACCTCACGGCCGCCAGGGCTTGTGTCAGATAAAGGTCCCAATTTTCAACGTTATCCCTCGCCAATTTAGACAATACATCCCCCAAGGTCCTGTGGAACCTTTCCACCTTGGCATTGCTCTGGGGGTGATAGGGGGAAGTGGTTATATGCATTATATTCAGCCCTTCCAGAGTCTCGGCCATCACCCTATTTACGTTCTCCGGCCCATTGTCAGTGACCAGTTGTACCGGAGCACCATACCTAGGGAATATTTCGTTCGCGACTAGGTCTGCAACTGTCTGTGCTTTCTTATCTGGTACGGCATAGGCCTCCGGCCAATTCGTTAGCCAGTCCACGAAGCTCACTATATATAGATTGCCCCTGGATGTCTCGCCGTACGGTCCCGACACATCCATACTAACCTTTTCAAAAGGAAAGTTTGGGATATCTGTCTCCTCCAGTGGGGCCGTCTCCCTTCCTCTACTCCGAGCCTGACATACCACACAGCTCTGAACGTAGCGGGTAACCTCGGCATACAGTCCAGGCCAGTAATAGTTTCTTCCCACTAGGTCACAGGTCTTATCGATTCCCATATGACCCAGCTTTTCGTGGCATTGCTCTAGTATCTCAGCCCTCAAGCCCCTAGGCACATACAGCCTAGGCCTCACCTCTTCATCCCTGCCTGATAGGTAATATAATTTATCTTCGTATATCGCATATTTAGAGGTCTCACCTGCCTCTACCTTCGCCCTGAGTGCAACTATCTCATCATCCTTCTGGCCCCCCTTGATCTCCTCTATCCAATGAGGGTCAGCCAACACAGGTGGGGTCTCTTCAGCGTCCGTCTCCAGTGCAGGATGGTCCCCACAGCTGATGAGAATTAATTACTCTTATTTGATAAGCTCGATCGTCCACCCCTGGTTCCACTCTTACAGACTCTGCCTCTAGGTTTCTGGGTATTCTGGATAGCAAGTCGGCACAGGTATTGTCCTTACCGGCCAGGTATTCTATCCTACAGTTATACCCACTTAACTTCAGCGCCCACTGCTGAATTTTTTTGTTTGTCCATTCTGCTTCCAGCAGATACTGGAGCGGCTTGTGGTCAGTCTTGATAGTAAACACCGCCCCACTCAGATAGTAATCCAGCTTCTGCAGGGCATACATGATAGCGTATGCCTCTCGTTCTATCACCGGCCACCTCTGCTGGGTCGCTGAGAGCCGGTGGGAAAGGAAATATACTGGCACTTCCTCCGGTATGCCCGGCACTGGACCATCCCTGTCCGGGCATGGTTGGGTAAGGACTGCCCCGATACACTGCTCACTAGCATCCGTGTAGAGGACCATGGGTTTGCTAAGGTCTGGATAGGTCAGTAGGGGGATAGCCGTTAACTGCTCCTTCAGGCAGTCAAAGGCCCTCTGACAGTCCTCTGTCCACTTGAACCTAGCATACTTTTTGGTCAATGCTATTAGTGGGGTTGCCAGCCTGGAGAACGCCGGGATGAACCGCCTATAGTAGCCTATGGCTCCTATAAAGCCCCTCACCTGCCTAACCGTCTTTGGTTCGGGCATTTCCCTGATTACTTCCACCTTATCCAGATCAGGTCTGATCCCATCCCCACCAATTATAAACCCGAGGTACTTCGTTTCTGCCCTCAGGAACTGGCACTTGGACAGTTTCAGCTTTAGTCCATGCCCTTTCAGTCGGCCCAAGACTTGTTTCAGGTGGTCAAAATGCTCCTCTGGTGTTTCGGAAAACACCAGGATGTCATCCAGATAGGCCATAGCGAATCCCTCCATTCCACCTAGCACTATCGACATTAACTGCTGGAATACCCCTGGGGCATTAGCCAGCCCAAAGGGCATCACCCTGAACTGGAACAGGCCCTGGTGACATGCAAATGCGGCCTTCTCTCTATCCGCCTCGTCCAAAGCCACCTGCCAATATCCCGATCTCAAATCAAGGGTGGAGAAGCACTTGGCCCTTCCCAACAGGGCCAATATATCGTCAATCAAGGGCAAGGGCACCGCCAGAGGCTTTGAAATGGCATTCAGTTTTCTAAAATCGACACAGAACCTGTGTCCACCATCCTTCTTATCCACCACTACTATGGGAAAACTCCAGGGTGACTTGGACCTCTCTATTATCCCTGATTCTAGCATATCCCTGACCGCTTCTTCCACCAGAGGTCTTTTGTGTATAGGCGTCCTGTAGGGCCTCAACTTGATCGGCGCCTCGTTGCCAGTGTCGATTTTCATTTTGACCGTCTGGGTCTGCCCCAACTCCCTATCTGAATTGGCCACCACACCCCAGTTGGCCCTCAACAGTTGTCCTATTCTGGCCCTAAACTTCTCAGGGGCCACTATGTCCTCGTCCCTTACTTCCCCAGTTCTCTCGGGAACGTTTCCTCCTTCTCTATTGAACCTCACTCGCCGTATGGACCTCAGTGGTAAGGCCCTTCCTACCTCTTCCCCTTTCGCTATCTTAATTGTTTTGTTGGCCTGATTGACCAACATTATAGGCACCACCTCTGCCCTATTCACCACTGCCTCGCACAGAGTCACCTCGTCCTCCCCAGGATTGCACACCTCCCTCGGCGTCAATTGGACGATTCCTTCCCCGCTACTTCCTTCCGTGGCCAGCCTGCCTTTACCTGACACTGCTGTTCTAGGGGGTAACGTAATATCTTCGTCGGCCACTACCGTTATCGATTCCTCGGGTGTTTTCCCCAAAGGCGTCTCTACGCCATTTATTATCAACACAGTGGGGTGGAATTTTATGTGCGCCTTATTTTGATAAAGCCAATCCTCTCCCAGGATTGCTTCCTCGCACAACTCTGGCGTTACGTAAAAACTATGGACACTCTCTGTCCCTCCCACTTTTACCGACAGCCTTGCTATTCCCCTTATAGCCATGGGCCTTCCATCTGCCTGACTAACCTTTATGTCAGGCCTTCTTAATTTCCCCCTCCTCTTGAGGCTTCTATATCGGTCCTCTGATATTAGAGATACCGATGCCCCCGTATCAATCAGGGCCCTTGCCGTCGACCCACCTATTATTACCTTACAGGTCAGCTCTCCCCCCTGGGTTAGCAAGGAGAACACCCCAGCCATTCTCCTTCGGAAGCGTTGTCTTTCTGTCCACCCAAACATGGGCGCCGGTAGCAGTGGCCCCCTACTGCAGTTGTCACAGGGGGTCCGCCGCTGTCTAGTGTTCCACCGCGGTGCCCCCTGGTAGACGTTTTTAGGTTTCTCCCTACGTCTTTCCTGAGGGCAATTTCCTTTCAGGTGCCCTGGTTGGCCACAGGACCAGCACCTCCTTTCAGGACATTTTTTTGAAAAATGCCCGAGCCAACCACACGCCCAACACTTCATCTCTTTCCTCCGCAACTGGGCCACCCTCCCTTCTACTTTTGGGGCGGCCCACCGGCGTTTCCCTGGTTCGTGTCAGTATGGGTACGCTTGGTGTCGTTGGGGTCGGGCGCCTTCCGGTACCCGCACCATTTTTTTTCATGGCCCTGACGACCGCACCTTGTGCACATCGGCCCGTCATGGTCCGGTGGCAATCCCCACTTCGTCGGGCAGTCAACTGCTCTGTGACCCTCATAATTACAGGTCCAGCATACCAGCCCCATCCTGCCGGGTGTGGGCCTGTAGAACCCGCGTCCCAACGTCCACCCTTTTCCACCAGGAGTCGCTTCCCATTCTTCGGGCTCGACCTCCTGCTTGACCCTCCTGTCCCATGTGGGGGTTCTCTTGCCCCCAATATTCCTGTCTCCCTCCCGACTCTGCGCTACTGTTCCCTTCCCCCTAACTTTTTCCCAGATCCTCTGGCTATCCTTTGCCAAGGCAATAGTCGCTGAGAGAGTGGTTGGGGCCTCCTTGATTGCATCATGCCTGATGCGCTCATTATGCAACGCCTCCACATACAGATCTACCAACAGGGTCTGTATGGCGGCGTTGTCCCTGATCTCGTTCGTGAAAGCCAGGGAGGCCAATCTTTCGGCCCTGACTCCCAAATCTCCGGGGGACTCGCCTTTCCACTGGGCCAGCGTCATGAGGCTTCTCATCGCCTCGATTGCGGTAGCCTCATCCGCAAACTCCCGGATCAACAGATCCTCAAGCTCTGCCCAGGTCAACTCAGCATCCCCCATCAGGTAATTATATATGAATTCAGAGACCCCACCCACTGCCGCGTTGTATGCTAGATAGAGTGTATCTTTCTCAGATAGCTCATATATGAGCTGGCCCTTCCTTATTGTTGCTAGCCAGTCTTTTAATTCTCTGGGGTTCCCCCCGAAGGTCGGGACCCTGGGTGCTCCTAACAGGCCCCTCAGGCTAGTTGTGCCCCGGTGTCCCGTCATCCCACCTTCCTCTACTAACCCTTCCGATGTTTCCGACCCCTGGCTACTCATGTCCCTAGTCAATCAGTGGAAGCAAACAGAGAACAAGAACAATTCTGGCGAATTCCAGCAACAGATCGAAGAAAAAGGGAAAACCGAAAAGTGCCCTACCTGTCTTTCCGTGCGGTCAGCTGCGGCCTCTGGATTGGTCTGTGTGCTGTTTTTTTTTTTTTTTTTTTTTTTTAACAGAACCGTACGGTCAGAAACCCTGACCAAATGTCTCTTGGTTCTATTTTCACTTTTTTTTTTTTTTTTTTTTCACGTTTTCTTGTGGTTACGTCTGGGTCTATCCTGGTCACGGCACCAGTTATGACGCTTGGCCCCGGGCCGGCTCAACTCCCGAGGTGGGATCCGGTCTCCTCGGCTGATCGTGTGACCGATCACTTCGAACGCACCTGTCCTACCCCACGTTGTGTTAAAAGATCGTAAGACAGGCCCGATCCGAATGGTCGACTGAGACCGAATATCACGGTTGCACCGGCCAGAGCAAGGTCACAAGAAAAAAGAAATAAAACGCAACTTGCTTAAAGAAAATAATATTTATATACTCTTACAAGTTGGTTAGTGATGTTACTGAGTGTTCAACAGGCAAATGTTTCTCATGCAGTAACTAGCGACCCCTTCCCGATTTATCGTAACGCACTGGTGGGTGTTGGTTTCAGTATCTTTGGAACAAGGCGCTAAGTCGGAGGTTTTCTACTTTCAGACGACAGGTCACATGGGAACAGGATTGGTCTTGTCTGTCAGCGTTCAGCTGCCTGCGTGTCCCTTCGGTCTGCGACTCCGAGCGTGTGTGTGTGAGTGTCGAACTCTCCTCGGCTTCTCATTTTATGGGGCCCAGTAAAAGGGCTGGGGTGGGCATGGTGTCTCTCTGGATCGCCAGCATACCCCAACGACCAATCAGAAGGCTTCCTACAACCGTCCGAATGTGGGGGGAGGCCTCCTTTTTCCCCAGAACTCTGTTGGCGCTCCGCCTCTCTGAGCCACTTGACCAAATAAATCTTCTCGTCACGATTCCGCTTGTTAGTGACGAAGCTCACACTGGCCTTTGAGTAGATCTCAACTTCAGCACCCGACGGCCACTTTTAACAAATAAAAACAATATTCTTTAATTAATTGTTCGGATGTCTGCCTGCGCCCGAGAAGTGTTAACATGACCGTCAAGTGCCTTTGTTTCGCTTCACCGTGAACTTAATTGGCCGGTCCAACGAAATGGTACTTTTATAAATCCTATTCTAGCCAAAATTCACTCAAAAAGACAATTTGGGTAAATCTTAATTCCCGACGATCACTTTAGAAAGAAAAAGGATATTTTCTAATTAGTTGTTGACACGGTCGTCAAGTGTCTTTGTTTCGCTGCCTTCATATTTCGGCCAATTTTGTGCCTTCGTGGATCGGTCACCGCAATTGTCAAGTGGTTTTAAAGTGCCTTTGTTTCGCCTCGCCGTTGACACACCCGGCTACTCCAAGGAAATGGCACTTGGTGAATTTTTGTTCAAGTCAAAATTCGATTTAGCAAAACAATTCCTTCTTTTCTTAATTCCAACCACCACTGGTCATCGTTCTAGCGAATTTCGTGTTATTTCTTTGACAATTCACTTATCAAAACAATTTACCTTTCCTCTAATCCGGCCCAGTTGTAATTATTTACATTATCTACATTGTTCAGACTGTTGTCCTCATCTTTATGTTGACAACATTTCGGCTGTTGTACGCTCCGGCCTTCTTCAGCTGATTGGAATTTTGAACTGAACCCTTTATTTCATACACTGGGGTAGATTGTTCTAGTTCCAAATTCCATGCCTCTTCCTGATGTCTCAATTATCTCCCTAACTCAGAGATAACTGGCCCAGTGGATAAAATTGTAGGTTGGATCCAGTGGTTTTACACAAAGAGTGTGGCACCTTGCATTATTAGAAATATTCATAGAAATATGATTTAATTTTTTCTTACTCGGTTTACTAAACAGGTTGTTGATTTTTTTTTTTAAAACGGAAAATAATTGAGTTGAAAATAATTCACTAAGATTGTACTTAGATGATCCTAAGGGAAGAAGAGGAAGAAAAAGAGAAAAAGCAAAAGAGAGAGGTTGAGAAATACAAAAAAGCGGTCATTAACAAAAACACGAAGTCAGAAAGATATCTTAGCTAGCATGTTGACCGAATTTTTTTAAAGACAATTGGAAGAATAGAATTAGAAATAATAAAAAGAAAGAAAGGAAAAGACATGATATCAAAACGGGGCTTGATGAAAACCAGATATCGGTCAAAGCATCTAGCCTACTTTTTATGTAGAAAGACACCTTATCAATTTGGATAAAGGGAAATTTTGGGAACAATGAAAACGAAATCTTAATCAGAGAAAAGTGTTTTTGGGTTTGAGGGGAGTGACCGTGGAATTGTATACAGATTCTGACCTGTTAAAAATTAGAACCCCCACATTGACGAGTGAAAGATATTTTCAATGTAGATAATTAAGATTTTCTGACTGTCGGGTCTGACCAAAAACAAGAGGTGAAAAAAAAAACGATTGTCTCAGTTCACAGATAGCGCCAATATTCTTCCCTGAAGTCACATCTAATTAGCGGCAGGCTGTGTTGACAAAACCCAGGTGAGAAAAAGCCAAGATTATCATTTTTCGTACGTGCGAAAAAGGCCAAATTAGATTTTGTTTTTTTAGAACAAAACGATATAAGCCCGCCCGATTGATTGCAGGAAAACGCAACCAGAGTCTCATTGGCGAAAACGGTCCGTGGCTGCGGGAAAAAGAAATGGATCAGGAACCATTGGTGAAAGCGGTCACCTGACATCGCGCCTCCCCACCAAAGGCACTATGAGGAAGTAGGGGTGAAAATAATAGCGATAATGAGAAGACAGAAATAATGCAACTTTTGAAATTATCGAAAACCCTGACGCCGACAGACCCACCCCGGTTTGCTGCGGCGTCATTTAAAAGCAGGACCCCAGTCGACAGAAATCAGTTGGAGTTGAGAGTTGCAGGTGGACCGCGGGCAGGGATAGAGCCTGAAGCGGGCATCAGGCCCGATTCACTCGCCCCTTTGCGGGCAAGAGAATCCTCAGACAAGAAATCCTTCACCCAAGTCGAAGACAAGAGAACTTCCAGCCCAAGCAGACGAAGAAGGAGATTGCTCAAGGACGCCGAGAGTTGTGGCAGAGTTACGGCAGAGTTCAGCCCCAGACGGCAGCGAGAAGAGATCACCTCGGACGACAGAGAGTTGCGGCTGAGTTGCGGCAAGAGATCCTTCCAGCCCAAGTCGAAGACAAGAGAACTTCCAGCCTAAGTCGAAGAAGAAGAAGAAATACAACTCAAGTCGAAGAGAAGAATCAACTGCGAATGATCGATAGAAATTAGCCCCAGTGTCGAACCAAACCACCTCCGACATACACAATTCTAAAGAGTAGGCAATTCGAAATCTTTAGGTTGTGTGATAGAAGCTTGTGCCATAGTCCACAGAGCGGGTTGGGAAATGAGAACAATTTTGTTTTTTATGTAACGTACATTAAGATATAAAGGTTGTTACCCATTTTTTTTCATCAGCAATTTTTTTTGTCTCGTGAGTTTATTTTCTCTTTTATTTGTGTTTTGCCACCCCCGTCGGACTCAACTTGTATCGCCCCAATCCCTGCTGGTCCCGTCTGTCTAAGATCTAAACACAGCGTGGGTAGACAGACCGGAGATCGGTACAGTTGCTTTAGTGACCAGGTATTGGAAGCGAGTCGGGAAAGGCGAGGCTGGTGATCATCTGACCAAGGGGTTGGAGCGGCACGCTTGGACCCAGGAGGAGCGACGTCACCGTTGGCGCCGTAACCAAAGGATCCGACCCTGGGCCAGGTGTGTAACCGTCACAGAGTTGTGTGTTCAATAGATGGCAACTGCAATGGTGAACAACAAGAACTTGGAGAGTTGAGTTAAAAGGAGATAACTGAGACATCAGGAAGAGTCATGGCATGTGGAAGTAGAACAATCTACCTCAGTGGACAAAATAAAGGGTTCAGTTCAAAATTCCAATCACCTAAAGGCGAGTCTACTATGGCTGAAACGTGAATATGCCAATAAAGTTGAGGATGAGAGTCCGAACCAGGTAAATAAAGTCAGAGATTATGTTGAAAAAGATTTATTGTGTAAAATTCATTTTTTATCATTGATGCATTATGTTTGAAATTCTTAGTTGGCGATGAAATATGACACCTTCAAAAAAAGGTGTCACATTGTTGCATCCACCAATATGACCTTGCTTAAAGAAACTAATTAAAGTGTATTTCTTGCTAATGTACTATCCGGTTACCTCCTCCTAATTTTTTAAACTGTTACTAGGGGGCGCTCTCTGGCACTATAAATAATCCATGATAATTATTTGCAGCCTCTTACTTTTTATGTCAACATGTAAATTTCTCATGGAAGAATGCGATTATAGCATGTTCCCTTTTTGGGAAACACATGAACAATACATTCACACATACACTTCACATACTTTGGACCAAAAAGTTTCCACATTCATTTGTTACACACATCATTACTTGTAACCCTTTTGTTGTTAATACATTATCATTTGTTTGTACATATATATTGATTCTTGCTGTTTCTTTATATTTCTTTACATGGACTCACATCCCAAGTCCACTATGTCTGTGATGGGCATTTTAGGAGACACACATGTTTATCTCTCAATGTGTCCACCAGCCAACGACAACATTTCAATATTTTTACTGTGAAAAATGAATTTTATTTATTGAAATAAATTATAAATAGTCTTGTATAACAATTTTTTTTTTTTCTTATGGTGTCTTTAATAAGAACAGATGTCATTATATAAAGATTCCAATATAAAAAAAAAAAAAAAGCAGTGAATTGGTTAATAAATTTAATTCTATTTATCATTTACAATTTATTTCTGGCTTGATGCAGAAAAAGTGGCATGATTGAAAAATGACAATTGCCGAGAAATCGCAGTCAATGAAAACAGCTGAAGGAATTGGTTTAAGCATGTACTTTGTTCAACCGAGAGATTCTATCTCAGATGAGATAGATTTTGATAAAGAATGTCAAATAGGGCTCTCGCATGTAGCATTCATGAGAATGTCAAATAGGGCTCTCGCATGTAGCATTCATGAGAATGTCAAATAGGGCTCTCGCATGTAGCAGACGCATGAGAGCAGATTGGCTAGCAGGTAAATTATTCCTATTTTATGTTTTAATTTCTTCACTTTGTCAGCTGAAAAAAAAGTCATTGTTCTCAGCTCATCTTAGATGAAAATATTTTGTTCACGACTAATCGGATAAGATAGAAATAAGAATATCGCCCCCCAAATGAGCTGTTACATCCAATTAAAGGATCAGTGTTCAAATTACCAGTTCATTTACTACTAGTGTTGTACTAACAAAGTAATTTTATTTTTCTATTTTCCAGATTTCATGACCGTTTCAAATGAATTTATACTCAAATGCCTGACAAGTGAAAATGTTGATTCAGCCATTTATGCCTACAATATGATAAAATCCCTCCTGTTTGAAATCAATCCTGGTTTGTGCAATGTTGCAACCTTTCGAGCGCTTCTTGTTGCGTCTCATTTAGGTCCAAGAATTCCACCGTGTGCCAGAGAACTGTACAATTTCTGTGTCCAACACCTTGAAGCCTACCCACCTCAGACCTTAACCCAACCTCCCTGGACCTTGGAGATTGTGCCACATTTGACAGACATTGAAATGCATTTAGTCATCAAAGATTTCTTGGATTGTCTCTATAACATTCTCTGTGACCAATCCATCTTTGGTCAAAACATGACAGATGCTCTTCAGCTATGCGTGATGGTCAGAAATGACATTGTGACAAATGTGTTTCCAAATATTTGTTACTTGAGAAATGTTCCAGTGAACAAAATTGAAGTATTGCAACAGGCGCTCTTTGTGCTGAAGACTTACATGGTACCACCAATAGAGGCCAAAATTAATAACTGCCAGACAGGACTCATTGTGAACCCAGAATCCTTGAAGCATTTCCTGTTCTGCAAGGAAACACAAAGTAAGTAATATA